GGGGAATGAAGAGGGGGCGTGTGAGAATTGGGGAATGGACGGGAGAGAAGGGCAGCGGAAGGCACAGTAGGACAGAGGGGGGATCAAAGAATTTGATCGGGGTAAGTGCGACAAAACGGGCGGAGGGGGGACCGGGGAGGGTGAGGGGGATATCGGGCGGGTACAGGGGGGAAGGTTGAAGGTGCGAAATCGTGCCACGTGGCATCACACCACGTGGCTGCGTGGCACGATTTTTTTTTCATTTTCACCGTTATTTATGTATTTGTGTGTTTGCGTGTGTGTGCGTGAGAGAGAGAGAGAGAGATGGGGGGCCGAGGAAGAGGGGAGGGCTACGGGGAAGAGGCGGGGTCCCTGCGGCATTGAATGCACAAAAGCGATTCATTTTCCATTTTTTTTCTTTCATCTCTTCGTTATGTGTCATGTATATATGCATGTGTGTGTGTGAGACACAGAGAGAGAGAGAGATGGGGGATGGGGAAGTGTGGAGGTATAAAGAGAAGTCAGCAGAGGGGGGCGCGATCTTTTTTTATCTCTTTTCTTTACCGTTCATGTCGTGTGTGTGTGTGTGTGTGAGAGAGAGAGAGAGAGATGGGCGAGGGCGAAGGGGGAAGAGGGAAGGGTTAAGAGGGAGTGGGGGGGTTGGTATGGGGGACGGTAAGGAGGAAAACGGGGGCGGGGGCGTGTTAATGGCGCGGTGCACGGGTAATCTTTTCGTTTGTTTCCTGTCCTTTTTTCTTCTTTTTTTTCGAGTGAGCTTCTGTGTGTGCGTGCGTGTGTTGTGTGTGTGTGTGTTGTCATATTCGCTATACACTCAAAAAAAGCATGACTGTGCCGAACAGACTGTTTCGTCGGACTTTCACCGACTCATCAGGAGGTTGTGTGTGAGTGAGAGAGAGAGAGAGACAGAGTTTGCATGGGTAGGTTGCCTCCGCCATTCATGCATCAACTGTCGCATTCATTTTTGCGAGCGAAGCCATAACAGGTCATCTAGTAGAATATAATATATTACTCATTTCCAGAATATGAAAGATTTTCTGGATAACAGTAAACAAGGAGACAAGCAGTGGCACAAAAACAGTGTAGCGGGTAGACAGGTGGGCCGAGGCAGATTGCTGAATTCTGTCCCAAACACTGGAGGGTTTCCCCACTCTGTCGATTGCTCAGAGCCTTCTGCGTTTGCTCCCGTGTAAAAGAGGAAACAGGCGGGGACGGGGAAGGGGATTTGAGCTCATGATCTATGTATCAACAGCTGAATGTGCGCAGCACTCAGCATCTGACCTCGTGACCAGTTTATCAAATGGCCTACCATCACAAGAGATACGCAGCCTTCAATTTAGGAAGTAGATATTGCAGGTAAAATAAAGGAACCGAAGTTAACGTTTGCTTTTGCTCAATCACACTGTTGTTGTCAATATAATTCTCTGAGGCCACGAGAGACTGGATTAGCAAGGAGCCAGTATTGGGGGACCAGAGCACTTTATGTTTTAAAATACGTTTGTTTCGTTGTTCTTCCTTTCTTCCTCAGCCTTCTCGACTCCCAACCCCGTCTCTTCTCCCCCGATACCGATTCCAACTCCCATACCGATTCCAACTCCCATCCCGATTTCCATCCCCGATCAACCCCTTTCCCCGATCCCAATTCTGTACCCCTCTTTACGCGCTTCCTCTCTCCGATCCCGATTCTTCCCGAGTTCCGACACAGTGTGGGAGAGGAGGGATGGGGTTCCGAAGCAAGGGATGAGGGGGGACGGAGGACAGAGTCGAGATCTGGGGAGGAGGGGAGGGGGGGAATCGGGATCGGGGAAATGGAGCACTGTCGGGATTGTACGGGGAAGAGGGAGAAAGATTGAGACCACCGGACGAAGTCGGAGTTGGAGGGAGGGAAAGAATCGAGATCGGAAAGGGATAAGAGAGAGAGAAAGAGAGAGAGAGAGAGAGAGAGAGAATACAGCATCAGGTAAGTCTCCAAAGCCGCGGCTGGCACTTCACTATTACGCGTGTGTGTGTGTGTGAGAGAGAGAGAGAAAGAGAGAGAGAAAGACAGAGAAAGAGAGAGAGAGAGAGAGAGAGAGAGGTCGACGTGAGAACTCGGGATCAAGTCGGGATTGGAAAAGGGGTGACGAACATGGAAATCGGGATGAGTACGGGAAAGAAAATTCGGGGTGAGAAGTGGGAGATGAGATGGACTCGGGATAGGAGACGTAGCGAGTCGGGATGGAGAGAGAGGCGGGGAGGGGGAAGGGGTGGCGATTGTGAGAGGATGGGGGAGGTTCGGAAGACGAGGGAGTCCGAAGGAAATTGGTGTGTGTGTGTGTGTGTGTGTGTGTGTGTGTGTGTGTGTGTGTGTGCGTGTGTGTGTGTGTGAGAGAGAGAGAGAGAGACAGAGAGAGAGTAGCGATGAGCAAAATCGATCGAATTTTCCACTATAACGCCGAAATATGATTGCTACACAGCCGTGTGTGTGTGTGTGTGAAATCGAGATGGAGTCGGGATAGAAGACGTGGGGAGTCGGGATGAAGAGAAAAGGGCGGGGCGGAGGGAGGACGAGTGTGGTGTGTGTGTTGGGAGTCGAGATCGAGTCGAGATAGGACACATGGGGAGTCGGGATGAAGAGAAAAGGGCGGGGAGAAGCGGGAATGACTGTGGTTTCTTTTTTCCTTTTTTTTTCTACAACAAAAAGGGCTTATGCCATCACCATTTTCGTGTGTATTTTTTTTTATTTTTTTTTGGTCTTTTTCAGTTCACGCATCTTTTTCGTTTGTTTTTTTTTTTATACAAGGACAACGACCTTAAGGATTATTAATTTTATTGTTTTTTTTTTGGGTCTTTTTCCGTTCGGACATGTATTTCTTTTTTTTTTTTTTTAAAGCGCGACGGCCTTGAGATATCAGTTTTAAAAAAAGAGCGACGGCCTTGAGATATCAGTCGGGATGAGCAGGTCGGCAACCTCACTTTTCGGTTCGAGGCTTTTTGTGCCCAACTCTGTTTTTTCTTCACCTAAACACACACACACACACACACACACACCCCGCATTACTAACCTTCTGCGATTGGCTCCTTTCTCTTGCTGGGGAGCCTATCACCCGCAACAACGGAAAGGGGGTTCCTAAAGGAAGGCCTTGGAAAACAGAACCAAAAAAAAAACGCTGCAAAGTTGCCCCGGCATTCTTCGAAATGGAGAGACGGACGAGAAGTTTTCATTGTCGCGCGGGATAGAGAGAGAGAGAGAGAAAGAGACAGAGAGAAATAGATTAGATACGTGGATACAGCAGATACATAGATTAGGGAGAGAGAGAGAGAGAGACAAAGAGAGAGAGAGAGAGAGAGATTGGATACGTGGATAGATAGAGCAGATACATAGATTAGGGTGTATGTCGTTTGTCCCTGTGTAAGTGTGTTTCGCCAGACTTTCACCGGCTCATCAGGAGGTTGAACCTGGACAGTTTGTCTGCCCAGGATGCATTCGACTGATGTGTGTGTGTATGTGTGTGCGTGTGTGTGTCTGAGAGAGAGAGAGAGAGAAAGAGTCGACAATGCAAAAGACGTGCAAACGATGCAGAAAAGCTATGACTCTGAACATTCCTCTAGAGAGAAACCAAGACACAGAAAGACAGCGTGATACAGAGAGAGACAACATGAATGGGGGTTCCAAAGCTTCAGGTGGCGCGAACTGTTTCAAAGCCTCCCAAGTACATGCGGTCACGGATGTCAGCTGCTTGCCAAACAGATACAAACGCAGGAAGAGAGAGAGACTACCGACGTCACAATGTGTTTCGAAGCTTCGGGGGGGAGTCCTCGGTCGGTCCGCCAACCGTGATGTGTTTCGAATGCCAGTTTACACAGAGAGAGAGAGAGACATCTGACAAAGCCACAGAGACAGAGAAAAACAGTCCAAGAGAATGACATTCATTCCAACTTTTCTAGCCACTTTCTCACCTCAGCAAAAAATTCGTTTCATTTTGCTCATCGTATCCATAACTCCTGTGTGTCTATAGCTCTGTGTGTGTATGTGTGTTTTCTTCGTTTTCTCTCTGCCTCTTACATATCTAATCACAATCAGTTTCTCTGGCTCTCTCTCTCTCTCTCTCTCTCTCTCTCTCTCTCTCTGCCATCAACTAAGATGTATGTCAAAATATCCCTACAACAGATCAACACAATGCACAGTGCACTGCATGCTATCCAACTAATCAATGCGGTGTTCCACAGCGTGTTTTTTCCATCACCCTTCGCCGCAGCTGCGCTGCGGCGGGTCCACTTGTTATGTTTTAAAATACATTTGTTTCACATTAGTTCGTTTCTTTTAACACCTCTCTCTCTCTCTCTCTCTCTCTCTCTCTCTCTCTCTCTCTCCCCGTGTCGAACAGTGTCCGAACTCGTGACCTGATGATCTCATGGTTATCACTTCTGGCCTCTAGACCTGTAAAATACAATTCAGTCCTCTCAGGTACACCACTCGCCTCTTCTCTGCATCCAGTGAACTCTGCTTACCATTTTCGCACGCATTGATTTCAGGAATTTCCTTTCTGAATTGATGTTCTTCCCATCCATCCAGAACTGCTTAATTCGCACTCATTTTCTTATTCTCTTTACCCACTTCTTGGTACCATCCATCAACGTCTTCCTATCAATTTTGTTTCTCTTCCAATGTATTGGACATATTTTTAACGTATTCTGGAAATATTTTGCACACGTGGACATATCTGCACATCTTCTGGCGATACAAAAAGGGGGAACAAAAAGAGGAGGTATGCAAGGCCAGGGGGTATCAAGAATAACTACCTCCTGTGAAACAGTCCTGACATAATACAACAACACAGCCATGAAGCACCATAAGGCCACCAAAGCTACGTTTTCGCATGACAGAAATCGCGCCACCTAAAGCCATTCAAGACATTCAAGAAGACCGACAACAGAACATACAACACGTTTTCTTCAGTCAAAGCCACGTGTGTCAGACTTCGTAACAAGAACCCGTTATTTAATTTAAAAAAATAAATATAATTCAGAAAATATATTCCACCCCGCCATTCATTAGCCGATCAGGTCCGGCCATTTCTCCCTCTCCCCTCTTTGGTGCTTAGTGGACCGAATAGGGGAATCCCACACCTGGGTGAATCGTCCCCGAGCAGAGAATCTGTCCTCCCCTTCTGAAAGCAGCGTGTCCAGAATTGAAAAGGCGAGAAAGGTAGAGAGAAGGAAGATGCGGAGGACGGGGAGATGTTCTGTAGAGTGGAAGCAAAAGACAGATAAGAGGAGAGCTTACACAGTGTCGATCGTGACGACAGCCGACAAATACAAATCAGAGACTGAGGGCACACTCATGCTTGGACTTTTTCGACTCAGCTCTGGACGTGATCGCAGTCAGATTCATCTAGGTCAGGGCGCAATTGGGATCAGATACATTAGAAAAGTGCTAGTTTGAGTATGCCCTGGCCTGTCGAGAACTAACGTGAGACCACGTAGCATACACGGCCACAGTAGAGAGGAAACAGAGAAAAAAGATAGAAAAGAAAACTGGGCCCACCAACTCAGAAAGGGCGAGCCTCATGCCTACTGATAACAAAGGTAGTGGTTTGAAGTGCAAAGGCTGCCAAGAGAGGAGAAAGACGGGACAAAGAGCGGAGAACGAGACACGAAAAAGAGGACAAAGACTGGAGTCGCATGAAGCAAGCAAGACAAGGAGGAAGCGGAGGGCCCTACGTCGCCAGGACGTACGAAGGCACACCCGGACTCCACTGGAAGCAGTTCAAACTCCACTAGAAGCAGTTCGAACTCCACTAGAAGCAGTTCGAACTCCACTGGAAGCAGTTCAAACTCCACTGGAAGCAGTTCAAACTCCACTGGAAGCAGTTCAAACTCCACTGGAAGCAGTTCGAACTCCACTGGAAGCAGTTCGAACTCCACTAGAGGCAGTTCGAGCTCCACTAGAAGCAGTTCGAACTCCACTAGAAGCAGTTCAAACTCCACTGGAAGCCTGCGAAAGGGTGGGCAAGAACATGAAAAAGGGTGGGCACAGAACATGAAAAAGGGTGGGCAGAGAACATGAAAAAGGGTGGGCAAAGAACATGAGAAAGGGTGGGCAGAGAACACGAGAAAGGATGGAAAGGAGGGGAGGTTAGCGTGCATGGTCGACGCGATCGAACCAAACAGAAAGGGCAAGATGGCCAGGAATAAGAAAGAGAAAATCGGAAAGGACAAAGCCAAGGACGGGAGAGGACACGAGGAGAAAAGTAGCAACAGAGAGAAAGAGATGACCCCAAGAGAAGCGAAGCACGTCATGGAGGAGAGAAGGGAGAACGGGCGGAAAAGAAGAGAGGAGAACAAGGGAACAGGAGGGGCGGGAGAAAGGGAAGATGAGCGGGAGAAAAAGGGGAGGATGGGGAGAAAGAAGAGAAGTGGAGGATGGGTTGAGAAAGGCAAGGGCCCAAAAAGCGGGAGAAGAGGCGGAAAGAGGGAGGGAAGAGGGGGAGAAGAGGGGAGAAGAAAGAAGAGAAGTGGAGGACGTAGAGAGAACGGCAAGGGGACATAAGAGAGGGAAAAAGAATGCAGACGAGGAGATAATAGAGAGCAGAAGAGTAGATAGGCAAGGATAGGGAGCGGAGTGGAAGGAAAAAGCGAGGATCACGCGATAGGACAGAGCAAAACGAGAGGAAAGAAGGGAGGCAAGAGTAGATTATACTAGACCAGGACGACAGGGGGCACAAGCAGGCGCGAAAAAGAGGAAGGGATAGCGAGGGCGGAGAAGGAAAGGAGGCGAGAACGGCGAGGAGGGAAGCGAGGAGAGCAAGGAGGAGGGCGAGGAGGAGAGCACGGAAGGCCACATGGAGAAAGGAGAATAGAGAGGACAGGAAAAAGCGAGCAGAGAAGAGAGTCTGGACAAAGTGGGCAAGCGAGATGACGAGAGAGGAGCAGGGCGAGGATTGACGACGACAGGAGGGGAGAAACGAAGAAAACCAGAAGGGGAAAGGCGTAAACAAAGGGGGTGGACGGCCAGGGGACAACGGAGAGAAGCAAGAATAGATATCAATCACAGAGACAAGAGGGACTAAAGAAAAGGGGTAGGAAAATCGTAGAAGACAGGAAAAGGAGAAAAACCGAGTCTCAGGCATGACTACTTACCCGACTTGCCAACGAGATTCGATTCTTCGGCGCCCGCATGCACTCTGCGCAGGGGCATTTGCTTCTTTTGCGAGAATCACGCTTGGAGTTACAGAGCCGGTAGACGGTCCAGGGAATAACAAACAACGCCAGAACTGATAAGACGAAGATTGGAAACAAACTGCTCATCTCCTCCTTCGTGTTCGCCATTTTCACCCCTCCACTCTTTCACGCTCAATACTTCCCTGGCTGGTACTCTCTCCCGCTCCTTTCCCTAATATACTCTCTCTCTCTCGTTCTGTTAACCCCCTGCCTCGTTAGCTTCAACCCTTCCTCCCTCTACTTCCTAAGGCTTTCTTCCTGGAGTCTTCCCGGCCTTACCCCCTTCCTTTGAGACCACCTCCTCTTCCTCTCGCCAATCCGATCTCTCGAGCCTATCAACAGCTGATACTCCGCACCTCTCTCTCTCTCTCTCTCTCTCTCTCTCTCTCTCTCTCTCTCTCTCTCTCTCTCTCTCTCTCTCTCTCTCTCTCTCTCTCTCTCTCTCNTCTCTCTCTCTCTCTCTCTCTCTCTCTCTCTCTCTCTCTCTCTCTCTCTCTCTCTCTCTCTCTCTCTCTCTCTCTCTCTCTCTGTGTGTGTGCCACTCAAAACCTACAAGACATGGCGGAACACAGATGCGACTAGAAATACTTGGAGAGTACGAGAGGCCGCAAGAGAGGAAAAAAGGGTGAAAAAGAACCGTCTCAGGATTAACAGTAATGGACGCCAACGTGAGCGAAGGGCGCAAAAAAAATCCCGACCTTATTACCTATCCTCCTCGTTTGCCTGACATGGGTGTACGGAAGGGGCACGGTACTTCTTCACCCGTATACTCTCACAGTACACAGGCCCAGCTCACCGACGGCCCATCTTCTCTCACACTTCCTCGCCCCTCCAATTCCCCTCCGCTCTTCCCTGGCAGGCCTTGATTCACACTCACAGGTAGGTAGCTAATTGCATGATGATCCTTTGATTCATTACGCTCGGGAGCAACGCACTCATTCTATCTACACAGTGGCTGCGCACGTCAGCAAGCAGGATGCAAGTGGCATTAGCCGCTACCTTTCCAGCCAGCCGGTCGCCTTTTTATTTGACAGCGTCCATCCCACCGCCGCAAACAAACACCCGACCCCCCGCCAGGGAGCTGCTGCCCGTCAACCTCTCCTGCAACTCTCCTGCCCTAGGACTCTTCTCAGTGTTTCCACCTCTCCCCTCGCTATCTACTCCCCCGCCGGTATCCGCCAAAACTTTCTGAATCATCGAAAGCCAAGTCTCTTCCCGCTCAAACGCACATCCACACACGCCACAGTGCGGGAGGGTTTGCCGCCAAAACACTGCCCGATCAAAAAACCGCGCCACGCCACCGCCTTACCGACGGGTGACCGCCTCACCGACCACCCGTCTCCTCCGCCAAAAGTTGATTGAAACGCCGCCAAAACTTTTCACACGGCAAAACGAACTCGGCGATGGCGCCCTTGCTTGCTACCCGCGCTTCCGAAGCAGCGCGAGAATTGCTCGCGAACGGCCCCGCGAGACCAGGGGGAGCACGCGGAACCAGAGAAGGTGACGAGTCAAACAGCGCACGTGCAGTGAGGTGGCCGGGGAGGAGCGGAAAGCTACGCGCTACACTGTAACACTGACCTAAAGCGTCAGTTTCGATATGAATTCAGGCCTGCTCAGCGATGTCCGTCATGTAAACACACCCGATGCGGTCGCCTGGTCCAACCGCAATTACCTGGTCCAATCTCAAGGGAGTCCGATGGTCGTTTTCCGAGGTGTATGGCCAGCACATATCGCACTGCCACGTGGCGGCGGACTTTCGGCACCTCCCCACTAGTACGCCGATGACGAACCCTCGACATCGAATCGAGTGTATTTGGCACCATTCCACTCTGGCATCCCCAAGACGGACCCTTGACACCATCGAGCAACGGCATAAGAACAGCTGACTGAAAATCGACCTTGCCAGCTGCTGAGAGGCATCGTTCACCGTTACACCACTGCTTCGCTCAATCCCTTTCACACAGCAACCTGCTGGCTCAGGTAAGTTGCAGCGGACACAGGTGCAAACGATCGCTCGGCCACCACACGCTCTCCTCCATGATGCACGGGCATAAGCCAATCACCAGGTTTGAGCAGGCTTTTCCAAGGTTGGGCCTACGGATACCAGTTGTTGCTGGGCCCAACGCTGTCCAACACTGTAGTTGGAAGGGGTGGCATTTTCCGGGCGGGGTTTGGCGAGCGAGAGCACCATACGAAAATATGGCAGCCAATCCTCAACAAGATTGAAGCGGCGTGGCACACAGTGGCACACTTTCGCAAGTGGGCCTCTCTCTTGGACTTCAGCTGCTTTTCTGAATCAGGACGCATTTTTTGTCCCGACCTGAAAATAAACTATTCTAGGGCACCTCGTGTCATTTCAATGAGACCTCTCTCTCTCTCTCTCTCTCTCTCTCTCTCTCTCTCTCTCTCTCTCTCTCTCTCACACACACACACACACACACACACACACACACACACATGCAAGTGGATCATGTGTTTAAGTGCATATGCGGAAGAATATTCTACGTTATAGCTTGCAACTAATTCACCTTCCGCTTCTGGTAAATCGAAAGGAGCACGATTCGTTTTCGCTAAACAAGAGAAAAAAACAAAATCAATAAAGGAAAAGGGGAATACCAAACCGTATTTGTTTTTGTGCTATGACGATTTTTATGAACTTATAAGAACCTACGCAAATTAATACATTAGTTATATTAAAACCAATAGAAACTTCATAAGAAACTGTTTGAGCAGCACATCGTAGTGCTCCTATATATGTATATATTTTTAATCCTATTGCGGATCGAGCTAAGCAGACATTAGCTAAAATGACTTTGGAACGTAAATGCAAAACTTGTTTTAAACCTCACTCTTATGGATTTAGGTCAGGACGTAGTTGTCAAGATACAATGGAAGCTCAAGCTAGAGCCATTAGAGTCAAATATGTGTTTGACGCTAGCACTGCGAATGTCATGGGCTCGTTGGCAAAGTTGCTCCATCCAATAAATTCTATGAAATATTTTTTTCACAAACTAATTTTGTAATACAATCTCGTAAAGGTTCTGCTGTACACCGACTTATCAGTGGTTTGACTTCGTTGATTTCAAGTTATTTTATTTATCAAGATAGTGTCGAAAAAACTTCAACAACGCTTTTCAAACATACTATGTTTTCTCTTATCTTGTGGGATCGTAATGAGTCTCATGCCCTACACACAAAATACGACCACGTGCGTCTTTGTACAATAGGTGACTTAACGGTTGTCCGGTAAACATGTCAATAGTGACAAAATTCATATCAGTTACTGAAGAACAAGTATGTTGCAAATAGTCAGGCTCGCCACAGTTAAAACATTTCAGGAAGTATGCTTTACACACTGTTTCCACAATAGTACGCATTACCTCAGCACTTTGTGACAAACAATTTGGCGGAGATGTCTGAATAGTTGCACTTCGTGTCCGGAGACTCACAAAAACATTTTCCTTTGGCCTGAAAGCCTCGAGTGACTTCATAGACGTACCATCTATCGTTCCGTGGGAGTTTGGGTTAGGCGCTAACTTCTTATAAACAACAATTCATAGATTTATGTATTTCATGAACCTAAAATGTTTCATAGTTAGCGCTCTTTAGGTTAGAAATATCGGTGCATTTCAAAGCATTGGTGACATTAAATCAAATTTGGGTATGTATATTGGAAATGAGTAAATTTTACGACTTTACCTCACTCATTCTACTGTGACCGTGATAGTCTCTATGATTAACGATTGCAAAAATTAAGTGTATTGTATAATATATATAAGTTAAAAGAAAAATAGATAAACGATTGGCGGAAGAGGTATTCAAACCTCCGACAAGTTTTTTTTTTTTTTTTTTAACAATGCTCCAATCTATTCGTGGGGAGCAGCATGTGCTAGGAACTGGTCCAACGTTTAAAAAAAATATATATATATTGAATACAAAAAAAGACCGAGACCATTACCCGGTAATAGGGCAAAAAAACACTTATTAACCACTTGTTGTCCGCGAGCATTGATTGTCGTGGAAACCTAAAGGACTAACTGCGTATGAGTTTTAGGAGGAAAGAGAACAACCTCTTTAAGGCGTCTGACAAATCTCTAACCGAGTAGCTTTTATTTTACACAATGGCCCCCCTGCCAAGACGGGAAGTCCTATTTCAACTTGTTCATAAAATAATCGAAGAATATAATGATAGACTCCAAAGGGCGACCTGAAAACCAATGCAATAACCATCCACCTCTACACATTGTTTTTTTTTACCGTGCAGAGGGAGGGGGCGTTTACCCTTATACCAAACCAATCAAGATTCATAAAGGTGTTCATTGAGAAGAGAAAAGGATCGAAAAAATAAGAGGGAGGGGAAAGTGGCGTAGTGTCATCACCATGTGCAGTTCATTCGTTAAAACATAATCAATATTTTTTATGGGTGACATCCACACTGCTAGTCTTCCAGCTGGCATCCCTCCCTTGTATCCTTGTTATTTTTCCTCCATGTTCTCCTTTGAGCCATGCTGTGCAAAATTCATTAATGCGTTGTGAAATATCTGACTTTTTACATAAGTTCACCATACTTTGAGTCATATTTTTCCACTGACCCTAATTTACATTTCAATGACACTGTTGATTATATCAATAGTTTTCCCTAATATTTTACGTGCTCTCTTCCGAGCTAATACACAGCATTCTCGCCGGAGGGCCCTCATGACCACCTTTCTGCCAAACTTGAACATATTTATTGTAAAGGGTGAAATTTGGGTAGTTTGCGGACACCACAGACATACAGGAGCATTCTCCATTTCCAAAATCATCCTTTTACGGTCTTAAGGTCATTTCAGATCCAGCTCAATCACCTCCATGTTAGTATTGTCCCTCATCACTTGACATTTCTTCTGGTGGAGAGTATTTTTCAACGTTATCCAACAAAAAATAGTCGCAAAGGTATATAAAAATTGTGAATTAACCCGAGTGAGTTGATAAAAACCCTGAGTAAAATTTCGATAAAAATTAGTCAGTTGAATATCGATTCGTCTAAGCATTCAACCAAAATAAAATGATTGAACAAATAAAAGTTGTAGCTAACACCCAGTGCATCAAATAAATATTTTCTTAAAATTGAGAACTTAAGTTATGGTTTCGTAAGATTTTCAATTCTCATATTTTCATAAGTTACTTTTGATTTCATTATTTTTATTTATACTCTTAGCGTGATTGCTATAATATATATTAAAAGCGACCGATATTGTAAAAGGTTGTTTTATCTTCAAAATAGTCCAAAAAAATTATGAATGTCATACTGAAGATGTTTTACAAAGAAAAATTTAATGATTGCAGTCATGTTTTTCAACCTTAGCCAGTAGAGGTTTCGCCTAAGCTCTAACTCTTGCGAGCCTCCATATAGGACTCAACAAACATCTAACATGGTCATCGAAAGTGACATAATTAATTGTTTTAATTTTATAGATCATTACGTTATCATGAAAATTATATATATATTTTTTTATTATTCATTACTTACTTCTTTTTATAATTGTAGGTGTTTTTATTCTTTAACTTCTTGCTTTACATCAAAATGATTGCAATAACTTATTGGGCATGAACTCTTCTCTAGATAAAATAGTATTTTATTCATATTTTTGCAGTTTGTCATCTCACAATCAATTCGTGGAGTTACAATACAGTCAAATCTTAGACCATGTTATTGACGAAACAACCTTGACAAGGGTATCTGCCCGATAATTTAAATGTCACACGTTGTTTGACTGTCGATAAAACTCCGTTTGAATGATTTGACTTGATGAGATCGAGTACTTGCCAATGCGTATTCAGACAAGACTTACGCTCGAGAGGTCGAAACTTTTTTTATAAATCCTGAACCTTTTTAGCCTATATGAGTGACTGTAAAAACAGACAGTATGGTCTGTCGCTTTCGCATTTAGCGAAATCGCATGAGCGGCGCGGCTATCGGAACCTTAATTTAAGTTGTTCATATTTAAAATGAGAGAGCACGATTTAGCAGCCTTGCAATTCAAAGCTAAAACGACAAAAAAAGTCGGTCGCGACTTATTCAACAGAAAAAATTCCACGAGAAATGAATGTTGAAAAAATATTTAAAAAAAAAAAATCTTTATATTTATAAATTATCATTCCAATGTTCGTCTAATTATAAAATTTCCAGTTTTATTTGATAAGTCTCCATCTAAATATGATTTTTCCCTTCTAACTACATCTATTTGTTCAAGCTGGAATGAAAGTTTGAACGAGTTTATGAAATGTTTTTATTAAATTTCCATTCCACTACAACAAATATTTTATAATTTGGATTGGATTCACCTATTTATGACTGTAAATCTTTACTTAGAATGACAGTCCAATTAAAACATTTCATGAACCCATTCAGACTTTTATTCCATCGCTAGCATGCAGTTCAAATAAGAAGGGATACCCCATTATTGAAATGAAAGTTTTCAAGTGAGAAGAAAAATTTTAAAATTGGAATGATATTTTTTAAGATGGAACGAAATTTTAAAATTTAAAATGTAATTTTACTATAGAATGATT